TCTCACTGCAGCCAGTGTTGACCAGCCTGAGGGACAAATTACCTGTGTTTTCTGTCAGTGACTGGGCTGGAGGTGTGACAGGGATAATGCTGCCCCTGGGATTCCTCTCCATTGTGAGTGTGGTGCTAGGTGTTAAGAACAGGAGATGCCAGCCAAAATACAAGGCAGCTGGCTGACTGGCTGTCCCTCAGCATGTTTTTCTCCTCTCTGACACTGTGAGCTCCCCCACAGTGGTGTTTTTTGCACCTGGGATGTGCATCTCTCACAGAGCTCCGGGGAAAGGACAGAGCTGCAGCATGGAGATGTTTTGTTGCAGATGGTGATGGAAAGGAGACTTTCAGCTCTGGTAGCCCTGACTCGGAATACAGCAGGAGCACAGGCTGGTTGTCCCCTGGATCCACAGTGCAGCTGTGTCCATTGCAGAGGCTTAGTTTGCTTGTTTTGGAAGGCTGCTGAGGAGCTTTGCTTTGCATCCGTGGTGAGACTGGCTGCTCATATGGGTACATGTACAGAGTGAGTTGTGTGTGAGCCTGTGTTAATATGTACAGAGCAGGTGGAAGAGTCTAGACTCTGGGCTGCAGAGTTTGATGACCATTAACCTGTCGTGAAGCACACCTAGCTCTCAGATCAAAGCCAGGAGAGCCTCTGGCTGGTGATGATACCTGGCACAGTGCACCCAAGCCAAACAAAACAGAGGAATTCGTTGAGGTTACACATCCTCCAGCACACAGCTGAAAGGAAGGGTCTGTATTTTCTCCCTGGAAACTTTGGAGAATGTAACCCTCTGGCTTTCAAGATAAACACTTGTAGTCATAGCCCAGCAATGCTGACAGATGGACCTGTGCTTTATAGTGTACACACACACACACACAGACCCCTGCCACTCCTCTGACTACCTTGGGGAAAAGGAACCCCAGCTCCAAAGCAAGTTGCTGCCCCAAAAGCTGGTTCTTTTTGCCAGCCAATACCCTGACTTTGCTGTGTATGGGCTTTGGCAGACCAGAGGTGATGCTGTCCTGGGTGGGAGAGCACCAAGGGGTGGATGAAGCATGAAAAGCAAATGGGGAGAGGGGCAAAGAGATGCCATCCTCCATGTTTAATAGATAAACTACCCACATCCATTTGAAAAGCTCAAATTATTTCCCTAATGGCATTGCTGGGAAAGGTAACTTGGCTTCAATGGCTCCGGGATGGAGTGATCAGCTCTAGGATGGGTTAAGGTCAAGAGGAGAAACCTTCTCCATGTGTCTTTGCAGTGAGTGTATGCACACATACACATTGATAACGGCATTGATAGAGCAGCCATGAGTTCATCCTGCACAGCCTGGCTCTGCTTTCCCCATCCATGCACCCCAGCACCCCATAAACTCCAGCTCAGCAAGGGGAGAGGGTTTTCCTGCAGAGAAACCTTTAACAAGCATTCACTGCCACTTCCAGCCTCCTGTGAGAGTCCCTCCGGGCACACGCCCTTCTTGAGGGCACCCCAAATCTGCCACTTGTCTGGCAGCTCAGAGCTGGTGACAGCTGCAGGTCCCCTCCCAGGGCTGCATGGGGCTGTTCTCTCCGGAGGAGCTGAACAATCCCCATTGTCCCCACGGCCATTGTTCCCTCACCCTGGTCCCGGCCGGGCTGCAGCTGGCACGGCACACAGAGGGGCTGATTGTTTGGGTTTCTGTGCTGCTGATGACACACCACTTTGGGACAGCTTCTTCCCACGGCAGAGGCCTCTGGAGTCAAGTGCTGCATTTGCTCCTTTATTTATTTGTTTGGTTTGTGTTTTTCCTCTTTTCTTTCTTAAAAAAAAAAAAAGGAAAAAATAATTTTCTTGGTTGGATGAGACTCTGCTGAGGCTGGGGAAGAAGCCAAGGGAGTGCCAGTGGCTGTGCTGTGTGGGCAGCCCAGGTTCTCACCATCCCAGGGGGTTCCTAGGGGGACAAAGTCTTGCAGTGGCACTAATGCTTAGCCCTGGCAGTGCCCTGTGGTGCCACAGATGACTCAGTAGCCTGCAAACTCACGTCTTGTTTCCCTGGGAGGATGTAAACCACTCGTTTTACCTGCTGGACCAGGGGCAGGATTAGCTGTCCAGAAGCTGAGCATCATGCCATGAATTGATGTGTGCACTGTGACACACAAAGGAAAATGTTTCTGGTTTATTTTCCTAAGCACACGTGGTCTACCTGCCTCCCCGAGTGTTGGTGGTCATGATGTTAAACCAGGTGCATGGCTCACAGTGCCACCATGGTGGGCTGACATGCCCTGGGCAGCTCTGGCCTTGCCAGTGCCCCTCACAGCATTTCGGGCACAAAAATCTACCAGGAGACTCTTGGTCCGGGGCACCAGGAGCAGCCAGGGCTTCAAGGATTGGTTTGAACCACTATGATGTGCTTCAACTTGGGCATTTCCTATTGTGCCATGAGAGCTGGGGATCTTTAAGTGCTTGGGTAGAAAGTTTGAGCATTTCAGTAGTAATAAGTGTGCAGTAAAAAGAATTCCCATTCTCTTCCCTGCACCTGCCCACCCTCCCATCTCCCCAAGCCTGTTTAGCAGACCCTGTGGCATGGAGCCTTATGGAAACACAGCAGCACCAAGGCTTGGGAAAACCCATGTTATTAGGGTGGTGTTTGGAAAAGAACAGGTGTGTGTTACAAGGTGTGTGCCCAAATACAAAGGTGAGTTTTGGCATTCAGCCAGAACCATCCCCATATCTCAACTCTTTCATCAAAAATGTCAATGGGCTTGAAGCATAAGTAGGTTCATCCCTGGGGCTAGATGAGGATAAAGAAGAGCAGCAGTGACCTTAGGTATGGGGCTCTTGGGTTTCTTTAAAAAAACATATAACTGGGGAAGTGATTTATAAATAAAAAAACTGGCAGATAACACCTTAAAAGCAGGGCGAGGAGAGTGGCTACAAGGGATGATGTTGTTCTTTGGATTAGTTCTTCATTCATCATAAGCAAACTGATCAAAAAGTTGTGAATAACCTTTTATCTGAAAAAAAAATAATGGAAGTTGTTTTTAACCACTAACAATTCTCCCCAGGCCCAAGAGAAGTCAGCCAAAAGATTGTCAAGACCTTTAAAACTATTTTGACACAGTATTGCCTCACTTGTACTTTAAAAAAAATGAAGACCCTGGCCCTTTGGCTGCATTCTATCAGAGAACTTAGGCCAGTTGTTGACTTGAATGATGTAGGCAGCTGTAACTCCAATTCAGGGCAGAGGGAAAAGTCTGGGGCCATCACAGTGTTGGGATAGTTAATGATCAGCAAAAAGCAGAATTCTGGCCTCAGATCCACTCACTTTTCTTCACCTTCCAGATGTGTGTGCCTTAGAAAGTGAAAAACTGAGGAAGTGGAATGAAAAGTCCAGGAAAAGGTAGTGCTGGACCAGAAAGGGTTTGCTGGGTTTGCGTGTCTACATGTGTGCAAGCAAGTGAATCCATGGTTACAAACCTGCCAGTCTGAACATTAATTTGATTTTCAGATGTCCTTGTTTACATGAAAAGGAGGGTTTTTTTCATACTTGTGAGTTGTTTTCTTTATATTCCAGTCCTCCTAGGGAAGCTTTTTAAGCCTTCGTGTCTTTTTGACATGAACTTTTTCTGCTGATAACAGCTCCATTTTCTCATTACAGGATGATCTTTAAGGTCCCTTCCCACCCAAGCCATTCTGTGATTGTCACAGTCACCAATGCCATGCCTGTCTGAGAAGCTGTGACTTTGAGCTGGGAGAGGATTTTGCCACATGAATTCAGAGCAATTTCCCCAGCTTTCTTTAGTGATTGATCCCCAGACAAGACATGTAACCTGGACATAGAAACTGTTGTTCTGGCTTTGCATTCCAATTGATCCTGGGGTGGTTTTGCATGTGCAGGAGGAGTGGAGCTGAGCAGAGCCCAGCAGGAGTGAGCTGCCTGCTGTTCCCTGCCTTCATGGCTGCTCCCACCTTCAGGTCTTTATTAATCCCTAATAGATTGTTCAACACACAGCCAATTGATTTGTGCATTGCTATAGACACAGCCCCTTTAATCCTTCATTCCTGGGCCTTTTTATCTGCAGCATGTGCTATTGATAGGGCTGTGTGTGACGCACTTATACTCCATTAATAATGCATTGACCAAAGACAAGGATGGTATAGAAAACACAATGCATTTTTGCTCATGAGATTTCTCTCTCCCTGCTCAATATGTTGCAGTGGTTTTTCACAGGTAAAATGCAAACTAGTTTCTTTTTTTTTTTTTTTTTTTGATTTATTTATGCCAGAGTAAAAAAAAAAAAAAATTATTTATTCTCATCCCTCAGGATATTGCCCTCACCACACACAAATCATTGGTGCACACCTCACAAGGCCTTGGTCTGGTGGGGACCAGAGGTGTCAGAGAATAGGTTGGACTCGATGATCTTGAAGGTCTCTTCCAACCTTGTGATTCTGTGAGACTGCAAACCTGGCTCTCTCTAGACCACTGGAGACTGATTTATCTTTATTTGTCTGTTTTCGCATGTGCCCCAAGGCTCTGTGCTTCAGGATGTTCAGCTCTCTGGCTGCACATAGCTTGCTTCCAGCCTTGCTTCCCTTCTAGGTAATACCCCTGAGCCAAGGCAGGCTCCCATCGGGAGTGGTTTTCTGGATGAACATGTTCTGCATGTGATGAAGAAGCTAAGAAGAATATGAACAAGTTTGATTTTCAAGCTCTCTCACACCAAAACCTCCACCAGCCTGCCTGGAGAGAACAGGAGCCGAAACCCCTTGGCAGAGCCAAACCCACTGGAAGCGAAATGGCCTCACAGGGCCCTGGACAGCACCGCCTCCCTCCACCCCCTGCACCCCTCTGACAACACAGGGGGGTTTTCAACCCTCTGCCCCAAAAGCAAAGAGCTGGAGCAGGATGCTGAGCAGCTGTGCAGCCAGATGTGGGACCCAACAGCCACTCGCTGCCCACGCTGGGTATACCCCCATGGATTGGCTCGACCGAAAGCAAAGGAGACGTGGCAAGAGTGAGGGGTCCAGTTCAGAACTCTTTAATACAAGCTTATATTGTTTGTGTTTCTGATTCTCTGTTCTCCCAACATCTGGGGACATTAACCCTCATATGTGTGTGAGCATGTGTATGAAGATATATACAAAATCACACAGTTAAATATTTAAGCATACAAGGTATTATATATTTATATAATATAGAACTTTAGGGTATAGGAATCAACAATGGCAAAATATTTCTGATGAATCTGACATAACTTTTTTTTTTTGGAGTGAAACATGACCTGTTTTTGAAGGACCAGAGGAAGTTGTTGCTTATTCAAAGAAAGAGAAAAAGCTGTATAAAGAAATTCTGTGAAAATGATTTAAAAAACATCATGAACCAAAAAGGACAACTGTTAAAAACTGTATTGAAAAAAAAATAAATTAGATGAACAATTGTGTAAATATAAATTAAAAAAGATGACAATCTTAATAAATAAGCTTTACTATTTACATCTTTATATATTGCTTGGAGACTTAAATTAGATCCGTTAAAAACAAACGAACGCAAAATAAAACCCAAAATTGGAGCAGCAAACGTACAGGCGTGAGGTACAGAATTAAGGGTTGAACTGTATTTTGCTTGTTTCTTTTTTTTTTTTCTTTTCTCTTTTATACAGTAGACCAGTAGAATTCTTGTGAAAATAGATCCTCAGCACTTCATTGGAGTATTGGTTGACGTGGCTTCCAAAAGGTGCCAAGAAAGATTCCATAATAATAATAATAATAATAACCATAATAATCATAATAATTATAATAAAAAGATACAATATGATACATAAATATGGAAGAGCAGTTGGTAATATGAATACATTTTTCTCTAGACGAGATCACAGTTTTATTTGTAAATATTACACTGATATATATATAATATTACACATATAATATTATATATATATCACATATATATTTATATATATATTTATATATATAGTATGGCTCAATCCTGCTCCCAGTGAAGTCAACAACAACAAAAACCTGTGTTGACTTGATGGGAGCAAAATTCAGCCTCTCATCTGCAGACAGGTACGTAATTACAGAGGCCGTACAATGCAAACTCCACAATGGTTCCAATTCCCTCTTGAATTGCTGGTGAAATGTTTTGTTAAAGCCCTGGTTCTTTGCACTCAGAAGATGGAAACTGGTGGTTGAATGTGGCCTCACCAAAAGAAGGAAAAAACAAAAGACTAAAAACTAAGCCAGAATGGGAACCAAAGACAACTTGGACTTGTTAGCTCCACATCTCGACCCAACAGGACTAAAACTACCAACAAGTAGCACCAAGACTCCTCACTGAACACCTGAGGCCAACCCAAGCTCTTGAGTGTGGCCTCAGAGGAAGTGATTCTCATTCTCAATGAATCTTGGATGTGTAGATCCGGTGAAAAGGGAAAAACTCAGTTTGCTAAACGAAGACAGAAACAAAACATTAAGCCTCACTTTGCTCCTGCTAAAAAGAACAGGAGGGGTTGAACCCCTCCAGGTGGCAGGAACAGCCCAACACCAAATCCCTACTACCCAAATTGACCATAGCTACAAGGAAATACATCTTGGGCCACCTGGACCTGCTCCTGCTGATGTTCTGCTCATGCTCCCACTGAAGGCAGTGGTCAAGGTCCTCCAGGGAAATGGGACTGTTCTCGGGCCTTCAGTATGCCCAGCATATAAGGTCACCCAGAGGCAGGAGTGCTGCTGCCCTCAACAGGGAGATGGCCCTCCCCAGAGGATGGGGTAACATGGAAAAAATCTAAAACAGATCAGCTCAGCTGCACCACTGAGACCAAAATGGGGCCCACAACCATGAAGATATCTAGAGATACCTACAGCATATCTCTGCAAGGCATGTGGTCCTCTCCCAGTGATATGAACATGCCCATCAATTCTCACTGGGTCCTCCAGGGATTGGGCAGGGAGGGCAAGATGCTGCCAAAAGGCTGGGAATTTCCACAGCATCCAAAATAGTTCAAAGGCCAGACTTGCAGCTCTGAAACCCCTTTGGGCATCCCAGCCTTGCCTGACTTCACCCCATCTCCTCCTGTCTTCTAGCTTGGCCTCGAATGGGCACAAGGGGCTGGAGTGTGGGAAGGGGGTGGTCAGCACCCCGCTTCCCCAAAATGGGAATCACCTGTCTGCTCAGGTAGCAGCTTTCTCCTTCCCCCTTCACTCCCAGTCTCTCGCAGCTCTCCGGGATTCCGACTGTGCAGTGCTTCTGAGTGCAGTAATTAGAGCACAGTGAAATACTGATTAAATGCGTATGTACAGTTGGATAACGTAAAAATAAGCACAAATACACACTTAAAAAAATAATCTGGAAAAAAAATAACAAACTCCACCCCCTCCCTCCCCCCACAAACAACAATATACCAGGGGATAACCCCTTAGCCTTAGTTCCTGGACTTATCACAACACACAAGGAAAACAAAACCAGACAATGTTATAAAACCTCACGGTACTTCTAGGGAAATCTACACTTAGTATCTAGCTCTCTACTCAGCTGGCAGAATCGGTGTTTTCCTTTCAAACACACAAAAATAGGCTTTGCTCTTCTTGGATTTGGATTATGCGGGTTTTCTTTCCTTTTTCTTTTTTCCATTTTTTATGGGTTTTGTTGTTTTCTTTTTTTCTCTCCTGTTCCTCTCTGTATAGCCTCACACATTATTTTTTTTTCCACTTGAATCACTTGCAGCAAAAAAATTTTGTTGGCTATGGGGCTTTCTTTTTTCTCTCTCTCTTCTTTTTTCTCTCTCTTTTTTTCCCTTTTTTAAATTTTTTATTTTCTTAGACACAGGTAAAACCTAAAACAAACCGACAGTTACAACCAAGTGAAACTGAAACTAGAAGGGAGGTAGCTGGAACCCGATTCCAAGAATCCTCTGGTGCCATCCTCCTTTCTCAGCCTGGGGGTGACAGCGCAAGATGCAAGAAAAGCAGGAGGACACCAGCTCAGCCTGTCTGCGAGATGGTGGGGAGGGAGAGGGGTAGCAGCTGATTGGAGTTTCCCACCCCACCGTGCACCATTCACCGCTTTCTGCTCCAGCTTTCCCTCCTGCTGGCCATGGCCATCCCCCACAGCCTGGTGGCCCTAGATAAGGTGCAACCCTGGCTCACTATCTGTGACAGAGAAGATCTTGGCACTAATGGGAACTGGACTTTATGAGCAGCTAAATTTCACCAGCATCAGCACCCGCTTCTCTTCCCCCACACTTCTGGTTTGATATTGTCCTATGCTGCTGGCTCAGAGGGTGGAGGTGGGGGTTGATGTCCCTCTCACTTTCCACCCACTGCCCCCCACAGTCAGGGAGGGTCTTTCCTAGGACTCCACTGGGCATTTGAGGCCCATACAGTGGTAGATGATGTGAGGATCCAGCTCACTTTGAGCCTTGCCCAAAGTTGGAAGCACAGAGGACAAGACCTGAGCATGTGTCTGCTCCCCTCTTGGCATCTCTCTGGGTGCTTGATACAGCACCTGAAAATGCAGAGGGGATTTTCCCCAATGGAAAAAAAAACCAAAAAAAACCAACAAATCATTTGATTTAACACGACTCAGAGCAGAACTTTTTTCCACTCCTGATCCCATCAGGCCTACTGGAGGATATGGACAGTGCCAACATAGTAGTTAAAAATAAAAATCAAATAGCAGCATGGAAAGTCTGCTGGTGGGAAAGGGAATTGGGGCACACCAGGACTGCAGGAGGAAGCTGAAGAGTGAGGCTGTGCTGGTAAGAAGCCACTCTCCTTTGAGCTGAGGTTTCCAGCTCAGCAAGCAGGGGCTGGCCCTGGCTGGCCAGAGGGGCACAGCTGGCCCTCAGCTCCTGTGAGCCCACAGCAGCAAGTGGCAATAATATCTGTACAGACCGGTCTCTGCTGGGCACTGTCCAAGTGGGAAAAGCAGATGGGAAATCTCCTCCATGCTGAGCTCTGCACTGGGAAGGGCATTTTCAGCATGCACACAGGAGCTGAACTGAAGCTCCCTGCTGGGATGAAACCCAGGTGGGATGGAGAGGGGAAATCACACCAAGATACCTCAGGCGTTGAGGACATGAAGTGCCAGTCTGAAAGACTTTTGAGGTTGTGAGCTCTTCTGACAGGCTGGGTGGTACACGAACAAACTGCCAACAAAACAGGGGAGGGCAAAGGGACCAGAAGGAAGCAGCAACCTTTGCACAGTTATTTGCTTCCTATACTAGGTAGAAGGCAAAGGGCAAAAGTGGAAGCTTATGCCACTGTTCTCTAAGCTGGGGGATGTCCAGTCTGATTCCATGGCAGGAACCCTGATCCCATTGCACCTCCCTTTCCAGGACACCCCTGCACAGAAGGGGCAGAACTAGGTAGAAGGCAAAGGGCAAAAGTGGAAGCTTATGCCACTGTTCTCTAAGCTGGGGGATGTCCAGTCTGATTCCATGGCAGGAACCCTGATCCCACTGCACAGAAGGGGCAGGGCCATCCACACAGCTCCCATGGCCAGGCCTTCTCTAGGAATAGCTGGAGCTTCACAACAGAGAGCTCCTCACCTTCTTAATGACAATCCCCTCTCCAGACCTCTACTTTGTTCTTGAGACTCTTCTCTGGTTCATTCCAATAGAAATAACCCCAACAGTGGGTAACAAGAACCTGGCTCCCTGCACCTATTATTCTATAATTTTTCCATCTCTAGTTCTCCAAATCATTTTTACATCTATTTCTGTGAGCTAAATGACCCCTGCCCTTACCCTTCTGCCTTTCTCCAGTGCCTAAAGCAGGAGTTAGAAAAAAATGTTTTTCTCTTTACCCAGTAGATTGTGAAAGTCACAACAGTTCCAAGGAACAAACAAACTTAACACTGGGAAGGATGCTCTTTTGGATGTGTGTACTTCTTAGTGGGAACTTGGAGCACATGCCCAAGCCACACTGGAAAGATCTCTGGGATTTCCCTGGGATGGGCTGCAGTAGCAGCAGCAGCATTGGATGCCCTGGGTATCTCAGTGACTCAATGTAATGAACCCTGTAAGGAAGGGAATCACTGAGGGTCTGGCACATGTTGCCCTCTGGGCTGAAGCAGGAGGATGACAGGGTAGTGTGAGATCTGCTGCAGCTAATGCCCTTCTTTCTGGAAGATTACAAACAGCTAGGCTCCTGGTCTATCCCAAGTGTCCGACCCACTGGCCTGGCAGCTTAATACTGACAAATATGGCCAAAATTCTAATACTGTCTCCTATGGGCCTTTCCTCATGGCAGGTGTCTCCTCCTCCTCTCTCCCTCTCCCGAGAAAATGGGATCAAGAAGCAGTTGTCAGAATCAGATCACCCTAAGAGTGGGGTGGAGGAGGCTGCAGAACCACTTGGCAGAGTGGAGACCAGAAAGCAGATTCCTTTGGCTGGCTGGTGTCCTGTTTTCTTGCCCCAGTGCTGAGGAAGAGACCAGAGGGTTTGAAAGGCAGGTTGTAGGTAAGCTTTAAGGCAGACTGTTTGGTTGCATGGGGTTGTTTTTCACCCTGTCCTGACACAGTAAGGAAACTATTTGTATGGGACATAGCAGCAGGAGTAGCAGCAGCAGACATGCTCAAATGACAAGTGCGGGTGCGAGTTCCCCTCTCTGTGCTCCTCAGAAGCAATCATCCATGTTCCTCATTGCCAGTCCTTAGACTCCCCACTCCCTCACTCCACCATGGGCCCACCTGCCCAGCTCCACACAGAAACGCCCCAGAAGCCCTGCAGGCTACAAGGGGGCTTTTTGTTGGCTCTTTGAGGGCAGGGGGAGAAGGAGGAGCTGTACAGAAAAGCCACTGCAGTCTGCTGAGCTGCCTGGCTGGAAGTAGCGTTCCTGTGAGGAGCAGATGCATCCCACACCTCGAGCTGGCTGGGTGCCTGGCAAGTCACTTGCCAAGAGGCCCAGCCCTGTGGAGATCCCACCCCAACCACAGTGCCCCGAGCATGCGATACCTTGGCATTCAGCATCAGAAAAGGCTCAGCTTAGAGTCCTCCAAGAGCTCAGCCTCTTCTACAAACGGTCTGAGTTGTGAGTGCTGGGGAGGGGAAAGTGTTTTTGCGTTGATCATAATCTCTCACTCTTTCTCTCTCTCTACTTATTTCTATAAATATGTGTATATAAATAGTTTGTTTCTCGCCTTGAATCTAGATATGAACTGTTCAAATTAGATGGGCATAACATGCTGTTTTGATACATGAAAATCATCTTGACTTGACTCTTGGTTGTTTGTTTTTTTTTTTTTCTCATGATCACCATTTAAGATATAATTAATACATGAACCCCTACTTTGAGTTCTTCTTGGACAAAAATTAAAGGCAGACTGGTTGAATTCTAAGGGTCCCTGGTGCAGAAATGCCATCCAGTTGAGCAGCTAAATGTTAAAAACAATACCAAAAGGGATGTGGTGTCTCTCCTAGCCTGCCTTGAGCAGTGTGGTCCTCCTTTCCATGTCACTTGGCTTTATCCAAGACTGAAGCCACGGAGGTCTTTCTGGTTGTGCTCTTGGGCGTTGGGGTCCCGGCAAGCACACTCTCCTTGTAGGTCACAGGACATAGGAAACGGTGTCACCTGGGAAAGAAGCCAAAAACACAAAGGCATGAAGGAAGGAACACACCTACGGCAGCCTGGAGAACAAAAAAGATCTCCGGGGTGAGATCTTCAGAGATCAGCTGCAATATTCACTTTGTTATTTTTTACAGTGATTTGTGTTAGTGCTGAGCTGGTGCTCCAAGTAGGTTCCTAAGAGCCTATGGTTTGGGTGCTGCTGCTTTATTTAAGTCCATTTGTGCACTTAACTATGAATGTTCTTGTGTTCAGTTCCTCAGGAGCAGAACCAAGCACTGTCTCACAGATCAGTGCAGCTGGAGTCCAGCAGAGACTTCTCGGAACACCTCTTGTGTTTGAGCTAACAGGGACTGAGGCACAGCAGAGGAATGCAGTGGGAGACTGCTGCATTCACCATCTGTCATCTCTGTGTGACCCCTCTGGAGAAGCGTGGGAAGGAGCTGAAACAATAGCCTGCAATGCTTGCCCACTGCAAGTTGATTTGGGCCTTTCATCACAGTATTTACCTGCAGAAAAGGCAGTGGGACAAGTGTCTCACTTGCCCTGAAGTGAATTCCCAAGAATTTCTCCCATCTGCAGGCTGAACAAATGACCTCATTCCCCTCCTTTACACTCCTTCCAAGGCAGTGCCACAACCTGTTCCAATGTTCCCAGCGAGGGCTGCACACGCTCTCTGCTCCCCCTGGCTCTGCTGCCACACGTTCACTCTCCCTTTCACAAACACTTTTCTCCAGGCTATGATGCCTGAGTCTGCCTGCTCCCTATGCATCACCCACAGCCCATCTAGGAATGTGGACCCAGCATTGTGCTGTCATCTCCAGCTAGACCTTCCACACGAGTCCCTGCCTGTCCCTCTCCAGGATGCCTTTCTCCTGACGCACACAATTTGGGAAGGAGGGGTGTGGAGCTTTATTTCACAACTGGGTAGCCTTAGGCAGGGACATGCTGACAGAGACACTAAATAGCCAACGTTCATCACCAAAACAGGACTTAGAGAGCCTCCTCCCCTTGCTTTTGATTCCATTCACAGAAGACCTGACCCTCCAGGTGGAATAGGGTGATGACTCTTCATCAAGCCATGGCCTCGGTGACTTATGAACTAGATAACCAGTGAATAATCTGAATCTACAATTGCACAAATATGGAGATTGCAAAGAGAAGAAAGAGTCCAAAAAGTTAGAAGCTAATGAATCCAAATAACTGGCAACTGAATAAGTTTGTAAACTGCAGAAAACAATAGGAGCTTAAGGGTCACTGGATCCAACAGAAGCCAGCCCGAGCAGGACTGTCTCATATCACAGTGTTATGAATATTCTTAGATAGGAAAACAGAGAAGTCTGTAAACAATGAGGTTTGGGGAGGAGGCTGAGTAGGGTTTGTTTTATGACTGAGTTAAAATACTGGAAAGGAAAAAAAAAAAGATACATGCAAAATAAAGACTGAGTTTTTTCTGTTCAGTGTAGAAGGAAACATTTTGGTTTAGATTATCTGCTACATTGCAGGTTTGACCTTTCCCTTCAAGACAAACAAATACAAAAGACTATTTCACAGCAAAAGTTATGTCTTGAAACAAAAACTTGTTTCACTTAGAAAATGCTCAAACAAAACATTTAAGTATGCCTGGAGCTTTCCGCTGTTTTCATTTTTTTTTTCCTGAATCATTCAGTTCAATCTGGATTTGGCAATGATTTTGACTTAAAAAATCCTCCCTGATGTACAATGAAGCTACTGGTTGGAGGCGAGACCTGGGAACCTGATTCTTTCATTTGTCTTGATCAAGCTTTTTCCTCTCCCTGGCCTAGATTCCCTGTGTTTGCCTGTAACAACCTGACAAAGGAGATTAAGTAGCCCCTTCATTCAGAGGAGAGACAGGGAAGATGGATCCACACTTTGCACTGAACACAGGTCAGCCACACACCCAATTCAGGCATTCCAGTAAAGTGTCTGAAATTAGCGGTGACAGCCTACTGCACTTTGTCTCTGCTGCTGCCCAGGCTTAAGCAGGATGTGCTGCAGGCACGGAGATCCCAAACATGCTCCCATTTCACCTGCGGGAACATCAGAGCCAGGAGAGAAAGCTCTGCATAGCTCTGTCTCCAAACCACCAGCTCACATTCCCCTCACCGACTTTCTGCTGAAACAGCAGCCTTAAGACACACAAACTGGCATGAGTTTGATGTTGCCTGAAGTGCAACATCCTTCATTCTCTCTCCTCCCACTTCTCCTCATGAATCCCTTGTTTTCCTCTTTGCTTTCTCACAGGCTGTGCTCAGCCCTGGAGCGACCTGAAAAGGTGCACGTACAAGAGTGGATTGCTGCTGCATTACAGCCAATTCCTGGGGAGATGGAGCAACCAGAGAAGAAATGTCTGGCTGTTCATTGTCTCCCAGTAGTGGTCATGGATAGAAGAGCAGAAGCTTTCTCTGAGGCAGAGCTGTGGCCCCCAGAGCAGACAGCTTTGTGGCTCTGCAGCAGTTCCCAGCAGTGGGTAGCCTGATGGAGAAGGGTTTCTTCCTGATCAGATCAGTCTTATTCACTTTATGTCCCTTATGGAGGCTTTTTATGCAATTTGATTTTTACAGTGCTTTTGTCCAGATAGATGAATTGTTTTGTCTTATGGCAGTGAGCTCCAGAGATCAGTTTTCTATTATGTGAAAAGGCAGAGATTTCTATGGGTAATAAGCACAGTCACAGTCAAATTAGGCATGACAAAATTCTCCAAAAACTTAGCAGTAATACAGGGTTTTCCACTTTAAACAACATTTACAACAAATACACATTTGAGTTCCCCAAGGACCTGATTTCCATAGGTATTTAGGGAATTTAACCCACACACAGAATCTGCTGGGACTGCCTGAAGTACCCAGCTCAGGGAAACTGTAAAAGCTTAGAAAGTCCTTAGAAGAAGGACTGTCTTTTGCCTTGGGCTCACACAGTGACAGCCTCTGGAGTACACAGACATGAAATAGAGCTGCTGGATGTGCTAGAAATAATAAATGCTGATCCTTTCACTGAATGATAGTCCATTTAGGTGTGGAGCCCAGATATACATACTCCAAGATTAACTACCTCTTTTCTTTTTAAATAGGTCTGTGAAAGCCCAGCTCATTACCAGAATACATGACCTGCATTGAAATTCCCAGATAGACCCATTGTAGAGCCAGGAGCAAGGATCAGCTCCTCTTCCTTCAAAACACCAAACTCTGCATTTCATCTGTGTCCATCTCCCCATGTAGAAACCGCAGAAAATGTCTAGGAGAGTGAGAAGAAAAAGCTAAAAATTAAGTTTAGGGTCTGTCTTGGACATTTGATAAAGTAATGCAAGATATTATACCCTCAGACCAGCTAAAGTAGATTGAAAAAGACATAAGTAAAGAACACAGCTCCACACACCTACACATACAGCTCTTGGAGATGATCCAGCACAGTCATGGCACTGGATCAACAACGCTCCGGGGAATGTGAGTCACACCACAACCACACTGGACCACAGACTATCCATCATCAAGAGAAAAGAGACACAACCTCCATCATTCCTGTCACCTGGAGTGTGCAGGACATGACACGTCCTGCTCTGAACCTAGAGGAGCGAGGGCAGCAGGTGTGGGCTCACAGGATGGGCGGGAGGCTGGCACAGACAGCCAGGTGTAACTCACGGGGGATCCAAAACACCTCTGCCAACTCACCACCATTGCTGCACAGTGCATGACCTCAGACTTCCTTCTCCACCAAGGCATGGGAGCCCTGAGCATCCTCTGCCACACTGAGTGAAGAGACTTTGGATAAACTCAAACTGTCTCTTAGAAATAGGGCTAGATTTGTGCTAGATGCCATGCTCCCAACTGTGGGAACAAAGGAAACAATGCGACAGAGCAATGCAGAACTGGGATGCAGGTCATGGAACGAGAGAGAGGTCATTACTCCTTGCTACATGCACCTATCTGAAGAGGCTGGTGACATCCCAAGGCTGATGCCTGCTGAGAAAGGCCAGTCTGTAGGGAACTGGTGCGAATGTTGACAGGAGAAATCCCAGACAGGTAGAGGGAGGGATGTAAAACAGCTCTGCAAAGGCTGTAAGCTTGTCCCTCACAGAGTCTGGTATCAGGCTGACCTGGCTGTGCCTTCTGCCCATGCCTGGGGTTGGCTCACAGCAGCACCCAGGCAGGCAGGATCGGGCCCAGGGAGGGGGAAACAGGGGAGGAGGGCTGCAAAGTGTTGGGAAACAGGCTGTTGTTAGATTTCAGCCCTGAAGTGTTTGCGAAATCTCCCAGACAGGCCTCACTGGGGCTGCGGAGGCCCTGCTGCAGGCAGAGCCTCGGCGGGCAGTGTGGCCTGGGAGATAAGTGTGGCAGCCTGTGCTGAGTGTCACAGCCCTGTGCCTCCCCAGAGCCTCCCAGCTCAAACACCAGGGACTATTCTGTTCCCTGACAAGGCCCTTGAGGGATAAAAAAGCATCTTGGAAGGATCTTCCCAGTGGTTTTCAGCATTGAGGTCAACAGTTTGAGATAAGGGAGCAAGAGCAAGCCCCCTTTTAGCTCTGAGCACTGGTATGTGGGTTCACACCTAGGGCACTGCTCCAGAGGGCCTGGGAAGAAAAAGCTTGCAGGAAACCTCCTCTCCATGCAGCACATGCAGTTCTAAAAGCCTCTGTTTTCATTGACTACCCCACCATAAATTGAACTTTCCTCCAGTGAAACCAGCAACTGTGGTGTATTGAGCCGTAGCTCAGCTGAACCCAACAGATGCTCTGCTCTCTCCTTCGTGTGCAAATTGGGAGCTGCCTCACCAGAACCAGTGGCAGCAGGATGGCCCAAAGCCAGCAGGGATTCCCGGGAAAGCCCAGCCCGCATGGATCCCGCATCCCCGCCTGCCCGCGGAGCAGAGCGAAGGAGCCCGCTTGCCAAACCACATGGAGCTCAGTTGCTCAGCAATCAGCTGTGCTTCCTACTCTCGTGCTACTGATTGTGCAAACATGAATGTAATTAGTCTAAATAATCACCGAA